TCAATTCAAACTGCCGCAATGAAACACCCTTTATAGCACAAAGTGCTGTTGGAACTATTCTATAAAAGCTACGTACTAGTAACTACAGAAACCTAAATAGAATGTATTGAATGAAATCTATTATATCCGAGTTTAAGGCTACAAGATTATGTTAATAACTAGTATGAAAGGATGTATAGGGTTGCTTTCAAGAGTTCGGAACTGACTTTGCTTTTATTTTGCTCTAAATTTATTCAAAACAAAAATGTTCTTTTAGCACTATAAAACTAGAATAAACGTTAACATCGTTTGCACCGACGCTAGGATAACCAGCACAAATGAAAAAGCTTTCTATACAAAAACTTAATTCCAATTGTTCAGTTGGTATGGCAGCTATATGCTATTATGTAATCTGATCGGAAAAACTTCTTCGAAGATTGTATCGTTTCTTTAGGAAAGGTTTTTTATACAATGGCATGTTATTGCCCAATTTGTGTGGCAGTTATAAGCTATAGTAGTTCGATATCGGCTCTTCCGACAATTGTGTAGCGTCTGGCAGAGAAAAGGACGTGCAAAATTTCAGATCGATATCTCAAAAATTGCTCAAAAAAACTCAGCTCGTCATGCTGATCATTTATATAGACAGGTTGTTTGAAAAGATTCTGGGCTTGAAATGAAAAAATACTTTTGTAGGTATGAAATATATTTTTTATTCAATATAATCTCCCTTAACTTCAATACACTAATTCCAATGTTCCTCTAATAATTTTATATCATCCCTATAATAACTTTCCGGAAGCTCTGCAAAATACCCGTCTATCCGCAATTCGAACATCCATAGTTATAAAATGAGAACGGTTTTATTCTGCTTAAATCGCTCCAAATTATGCTGAGAAATTAGTAATCGATCAAGTTTTGGTTGAATTGTTAACGTGTGCGGCACTAACTTTCCAAAGAGCTTTTTCATATGTAATTATCCTTGTAAAATATGAAGGACTCGGTAGTATTAGATGACTATGGCATTAGCAATGTCACGCTTAGACAAACTTTTGGTCGTCCTTCACTTATACATATACCCTGTTCACGGTTTTAAAAACCGATACAATGAATTTTCTCGTGACAACTGTTCACTCAACGACAAATGCCTCACAGGACCCAGAACTTTCAATGCAGCATAAGAAGCACAAAATATAAGGATTAAACTGCAAATAAAGTGATTGTTCAGAGCAGATAATATTTTTAAAAGTTCATAAAATCTTATTTTAATCTTAAACGAGTTTACCTTTTTTTCGAACAAAAAAAAATATGAGCAACCCTTGTGGTAGAAAGTTTCAACTATTATTCAATTACTGATTGCGCTGATTAATAAACATAATTATTGTATAGCAGCGCATGACTATATTGTCTACATGTATATATAAGTATATATTGTGTAACTTATAATTTATAAATGAATTTAAACAAGTAACATAACTGTAAATTGCTGCTTTATTAAACGCAAACTTATAGACGAACAAATAGCTTTATAAACACAAGGATGTGTTGGTATGCCTCGAGTATTATGTGCTGTTTTCACTGCGCTTAGCAGTTACATAAATCACAAAGAGCACGATTTATAAAAAATTTAAATTTAATTTTAATACTACGAGCCAAACATATTGACTTTTAGAAGTTAGGAAGATCTTATCTCAATGCTTGAACATAGCTAAAGGATATATGTAGCTATAGACGTACATACATACTTGTGGAATAAAGGTAGTTAGAATTTTCGAACCTGCACACCATTGAGCAGCAGTCGCATTATCGACCCTGTTACGCCCTCTGCATACAAACATACATTGTTATGTAATCTGACATTAGTTATTTTCGTTTTAGACATTCAGCAGTCTTACTCTGAAATTGGTAACGCCCAATCATATCCTGTTCCAAATTATTCTTCGTTTTTTTAAGTTGGTTCAGCGTGTAAACATACATATGTATATAAACACGTATTTTCACAAATTTAATATTTTACATGCATTTGGTGATTTCCACGATTCAAAATAAAAAAGTTTGATTTGACACTTCAGTGTGAGTATGGAACATCAAGGGAACTAGTTTAAGTAACTTTTTGTTTTTGTTTTGTTTTTTTTTTTAACTTCTTAAATACAGTACTACACATAAAAAATATATTATATATTGTACATTCATATATGTACATATGTAAAGGTTTTCATATTTTTTCTGCTCCCAAAAAAAATTTTTTAAGAACTATTAGGATACAAGATATAGATAGTAAAATTTTTTCATATACAAATGTACATATGTACATATATATACATATATATATGTATAAATATAGCGAACTTATGTATAATAATAATATTTCAAGAATACTCTTGACGAACGTTTTACTCTCAAGATAAATTTAAAAACAATAACAATAATTTTTAATAAAAATATTTCTTTGTCAATACAATACACACGCATATACATATCTAAATCTATCTAATCTTAAATCAGTTTGTTTTCCTACAGGGTAGATTAGTCGTTCAACATTTTTATTTCTGTTACAAGTTTTCTTACACTTGTATTTTGTGCATTTATAGGAGATGATGTAAAAATAATTCTTTCAAAGTCCCTACGGCTGTGTACCCTACTTGTAAATAAAGGCCTATCCTATATTTGTTTACTTCGGGGCACATTCACGTATACATGTTTACTTTGACATTTACTTACGTGTATTTATTTGATATGTAAACTAAAGCATTTGATATGCATACATACATATACAAACATATGAGAGTAGACGCTGAGTTAAACGGCCAATGAGGTGAATGTCAGGTGCAAGAATACCAATTATACGTCAAGCAAGTACATCTGCCTTGGAGGTCTGCGGCTGATATAAACTGTAAATATGTAACTGTCGGTCTGTTGTTTATTTTCAATTTCAAGGCTCATAACAAAAAAAAATATCTATGTTCAAATATTTATATTCCCAACATACATACATATGTATGTGCGTAGTATAAATCCTTTCTTTTACGGTATTTACATATGTATAGCAATTTATGCATGTGTTTACATTCATAATTATTATAAATATATGACTCCGCCAATTTCTTATTCTGAAATAAACGATTGGCAACGCGATTGTGTGCCACAGTGTTGCCTACCATTAGGCGTAGGATAAAACTAACGAAACAGCTGATTAGATTGAAATGTTTCCGTAAGCTGGTAATATTGTTATTTAAATGATTAAAAATAATGTACGCGCTATCATATCGGATTTAAATTTCTGTGTTGTGAAGTAAAAAATATAAATTGTAATAAAATGAATCCTACAAGCACGCGACCCACAGGTCGATTTATACGTGGTCGCGGACGTGGTGGTGGTGCTTTTCGTCCTTATTTTTACTTTCGTCGCAACGGACGTACAATACCAGCTGGTGGACGCGGTAATAGCAATGCACCGGCTCATGCTAATTATTCAGGCTGCCGTGGGCAACGACGTGGAGGAATGCAAAATAATTATTATGCCCACCCACCCAATGTAGTATTGGATTCGTCTTTTTTGCGGCCAGAGTGCTATGCTGCACCTGATGATATTCAACACACAGTGCAAAGCTTTCGAGCGGATATGCCGCTACATTGCCCTGGCTGGCATTTGTATTTCCCGCAAGAACCCTATAAGGAAATATCAGAGGTAGCAAATCGTATTAAAGCAGTTGAAGAGTATTACATAAAGCAGCAGGAGACTTATGATTTAAAACAAATACAAGACGAAAAATGCTTTAAGTTGGAAGCAATACATGTTTGTGGCGACAAGGCGCTTACAACTCTGTGGCCTCAGTTGAAAGAAGACTTGCTGGAGCGAACACAACGTACTTTAGCTACATTTGCGGTCGCCATGCACAAAGTATTGACAATGTCTGCTGTAAATAGTGCAACAAGTCAACAGGCATGTAGCAATAGCGCTTATGTGCCTCGTTGTACATTACCGCGAAAAACATTCGCTCGACTGAACGGTTTTGCAGAAATTAATTTAATTTCGGATTTGGACAGATCAATGATAGGGAACTTATGCAGCGTACGTGGTGTCGTTTCTGCCATAGGCATAGTAGAAGCGGCGGCCTCATGGATTGCATATAAATGTCCACGATGCGGACAGGAGCAATCTATGAAGCAAACCGGTAAAAAAATAGAGTTTTTATACCCTGAACAACGTATATTAAGTTTGCCACAAAGTTTGTAACACCCATTAGGAAACGTCGGTGACCCGATATAAAAATGTATATAAATAATAAGCGTGATGAGATGAGACGATTTAGCCATGCCCGTCTGTCGGTTTGTTTGTATGGCTGTATATACGCCTAGTAGCCCTTCAGTTGTGTTATCGATCTGAAATTTTGCATACGTCTTCTTCTCATTTCTTCAAACTGAACGAGGACAAATTCTTATATCATCACGAAATTTGGCATGGCTTATTGTCTAAATCAACTATACAATCTCCGACTTAATAATATTTTTTGTTTTAGATCAGACCATTAAGCATATAGCTACCATTCCAAATGGCCGATCAAAATTTAGTTCAAGTATGGAAACTTTTTTATTTGTGAAGGGTATTATAGCTTCGGTGCAACCGAAATTAACGTTTTTTCTTGGTTCTTATTGAAATTTGAAATAAATATTTTATTCGCATATGCAATAGGATTTTACGTATCACGACCGAATAGCTGCAAAAGAGAAGGCTGTCTCGCGAAAAAGAATTTTATAGAACAGCGTTCTTCACCTTTTACACGCATCACCCCTCAGCAAATTATACAACTTCAGGAGACCAACATACAAGCGCCTATTGACAGAGAATACGATACATCAAACATGATTGATGTCGAGTTAAGATACGACTTAGTTGATACGTTCGTAGCGGGTGAGGAGGTAATTATTTGTGGCATAATTAAAATACGTACACTGGACGACGAGCAGAATGCAAATCCATGTTCCACTGTAACTACAAGTAAAATCTACATGAAAGCTGTTTCCATAAACAAAGCAAAACGTTTGGGACACATATTCACTCAAAGTGATATGGATGTTATTTCCATGATAAACTCGGAGCCAGATAGTTTTAAGCTTCTATCACATTCAGTGGCACCGGAGTTACATGGTCAAGAGATAGTGAAAGCAGGTATCTTGCTGTCGTTATTTGGTGGAGCTGGTTCACAAATACATGACGAGTCGGAGATTAACGTCTTATTAGTGGGCGATCCGGGTATTGGTAAATCTCATTTGCTCGAAATGTCTGCAAAAATTTCAACAAGAGGTAGCACAGTTTTTTTTTGTTTTGGGGTCGCTGACACAATTTTCATATTGCATATTTATTTTCTCTTAGGCACATTCGTCAGTGGCAAACATTGGTCGCCCGCCACGCAGTCATTAACCACCGCACTTCAAGGTCGTACACATCACATTCTCAGTTCGGGTGCACTCACTATTTCTAAAACGGGTCAATGCGCTATCGATGATATTGATCGTTTAGCTTCCCAGCAAGACATTTTAGTGCAGATAATGCAGTCGAAAATGGTTTCACTACCATTCCCCAATTTGTATGCAACTATAGCCATGCCGACATCGGTTATTGCTGCCGCAAACCCACTTCGTGGCCACTACGATCACTCGCGAATACTCACCGAAAACACTCGTTTGAGCAACGCATTACTTCAGCAGTTTCACTTAGTATTTCTACTATTAGATAAGTCGAACAAAGATTTGGACACCTCATTAACAGAGCACATAAGAGCAATACATGACGGCATTAAGAAGAATACGGCGATTGCACAACGCTTCGATAGAAAACCGAAAACAAATAATTCCATGAGTTTAACATTGAGTGATGATGAATCAGATGATGAGCAATATGATTTAAGTGTACGTTTAAAGCTAAAAAATGATGATTTCAAAGAGGAGGAATTAGATTTGCTGCCACCGATATTATTGAAGAAATTCATAGGTAACTTAGAAACACTTAATTTTTGTGTTATGTTATAATTCCTGTGAATACCTGATTGTCTAATAGCATACGCACGCCAACAATTGCGCCCTTTATTGAATGATGAAGCTGCTGAAGCGCTTAAAACGTTTTATATGAGCTTACGTGACAAAGTAGGCGAAGAGCAAAGTCGCAGTGTAACGACAAGGTAATTAAAATTTGAATAAAATATTTAAACAAGTAATATTAAACCAGGATTTGAGGTTAGGTTCGATTCGTTAATACAAAATTGTACATGTGATCGCTTAACAGAATTTACCGCTGTTAATTTTTAGTTGTTGTAGCTGTCGTGTTGACAATCTTTGACCGAATAAAAGTTGGGCCCGAACCGGTTGTCATACCAACGATGTTAACTTTTCTACCAAACCTCTTTGCATATAATGATTTGTTATTCTAATTATACGAAATATTATTAAATCCGATAAAATTAGGAAGCTGATTTCAGCTTAAGGAGAATAGTATTTTGTCCAACCAATAATGATTTGAATGATAACGAATTTTAAAATCAATCCCACAAAAAAATCAGTTTTGTTAATAGATAATCTAGTGTCTGCTCGACACTTATTTAAATAAAAAAAATCGCGGAAATTTTTTCCAGATTTTCAGGAAATTGTTAGTAAAAATAGTTAATAAGATGAAAAAAATCGAAACTGGAAATAAGCTTTCGAACAGGCACTAGCTTTTCATGTTTTAAAAAAGCTGTATAAATTTCCTTCAAATCTATCGAGCGGGTTTCGAGCTGCAGTGGTCACCAGTTTAAAAACTACAGTTTGGAGAAAAACGCATTTGAAGTTTTACAATCACACTTTGTTCGCTTGGAGCTGCAGCTAGATACCTGCTCTCGAACGTTCCAAAGCGCTCAAGATCCCTTAGCTAAATATCGAATATATCGAAAGTATTTGTCGGATTTATTTAAAATTTTCAGAGAATATTTTTAAGATATTTTATTTTACAAAAATTCAAAATGATGAATGCTTTTTATTTTTTATTCGGTTACATCTAACCGCTTACGTAATATTACTGAGTTATTCATCGTTTTGTGTTAAACAGAAGCCGTTCAAATAATGAAAAAAATATGTACATATTTACAAATAAAAAAGTGATATGCAGATTTATTTTTATGAGATAAGCCTTTCGCAACATAATTATTGGCAATACATTCTTTTAAACTAACGCATAAGCTTTAGCAATGCAGAAGTAGGCAGTTCAACTAAAACAGCCAATACTAAAGAGAGTAGATAAGACATCACCATAGTGGAGAGTATAAAGTAGAACTGTAAATTAGGAGCAAAAATTCCAAATTAAAATTAAAAAATTGATGCTTCAAAACACAGAAATAATTTACCATTACACCAGTGCCAAAGTAAAGCGGTGTTCTCAAAGTGCCCAACACTACGCGTGCTACGAATATATGTATCACAAAAGCGCCGTATGTAAGACGACCCAAAATGCGGAAGATAGGCAAGCAAGAAAACTTACGGAATAAGCCTGAAATTGAAATCATTAATTCAACTTTACTTTCCAACTTCACTAAAGTGCTTTGACTTTACCGCCAACTTTGCATGCCATGCCCACAACAAATACGCACAGACCTAGCCCCCAATTGTTGCGTTGTATGGCAGCATAAACGCTATTCCAAAATCGTGGCTGTTCCTCGTAGTAATGCTGATAAATCGGGTGCGCCGATAAAAGCCACAGCACACCAACCGGAATGAGTGCATACCAAAGGCATTGGAATAATTTGTTTTTATGCAATTTAAATTGTTTTGCTGAAATCTCACTATAAGCGATGGCAGCAAGCACGCCGCAAAAATAGCAAGCAAAATTCATGTGAAACGGCGCATAGAAATCGCTGAATTCGCGATCGTCTATAAACGAATCCTTTTGCGTTCTGTTTTAAGAGAGAAAAATTGATTTAAAAATATAAAATAAATTATAGGTAAAGTATATCAACTAACTGTGGCGATGGCACAAAGAAGGGATCGTAGTCGCCGAAATATGCTATAAAGCCAGGCAGCATGTAGAAAAATCCGCCAACACAACCAAAAAGCCAATTGCGCATGTGCGGCCATCTGTGAGAGTAAAAAATTATTTTAATAATTGCTTATGTATTAAGTAACTTGTATGACTTACTTGTGTGCTACTATCAGTAAGAACAATGATAACATAAATGAGAAAGTATCGGAAGCCAGATACCAACTCTGGAGCATACACTGTAGGAAAAGAAGAGAGTAGATTATTTTTTCGAAAAAAATAAGAGCAAATTTTAAATGCTATAACTTTTAAGAATGAAAGTAAGATTAATAGAACAACAAAACGCATATAAGTATGTATAGAAACATCGATTTAGTCATATCCGTCTGTATACCATATACGCGAAGTAGTTACTCAATGTTTGAGATAACGATCTGAAATTTTGCATACGTCCTTCACTCACCAAGTAGCTACCTATTTGTCGGAATGGCCGATATCGGACCACAACAGCATATAGCTGTCATACAAACTGAACGATGCACATAAAGTGCCTGTATGAAAAACTTTTTTATGTGACAAGATATTTTCACAAAATTTGGCATGGATTATTGCTTATAGCAACACTATCATATTCGAAGAAATTTTCCAGATCGGACAACTTAGCTTATACTTGTAGCTGTCATACAAACTGACCTGTCGAACTCAAGTCCTTGTATGGTATACTTTTTTATTTGACAAGATATATTTACGAAATTTGGCGTAGGATATTACTCAATGCATCGCTACAATCTCCGAAGAATGTTCAGATCGGATCACTATAGCACATACTGATCGAGATAAAGAAATATGTCATGAAAGCATGGATAGCAACGGATTCTGACATCGCGTTTTGTTTGCAGTTCCAAATTTTCTTGGGCAAAGTGAGAGAGAAAGCCGAACGAAACCAATTTTTTTCACAACAAAGAAACTGTTGTAAAGTATGTTAAAAAAAAAACAAAAACTGCAGAAATGTTTATTTTAGAAAATCATCAAAAAAAAATTTCGGAAAATAATTGAATACTACAACTCGACAAAAGGCGGAGTCGATATAATGGACCAAATGGTTCGTACATATTCGTTTAAATAAAAATCACGTGGTCCTGTTCTCTAATTTACTAGATATTTCTACTGTCTACGCTTTTATAATATTTACCGAAATAAATTCTGAATCCCTCTTTAAACTAATAACATTTAAATTTTTTCAATACAATTATAAGGGGTCATAAAAGGATAGTTTTTTGTAAAGTCCCTGTACTACAAGTGAATAATTAATATTTCAATGTAGTTAGTTTGCTATTCGAGGCGGAGATGAATAAGTTTAATAAGCTCTCACTAATTTACTCACCTTCTCATTATTGCGATAGTAGTTATTGATATAGAGCAGATTGACCCACCAATTTTTGCGACAAGCGAGCTGTTCACGTTCAACAATATGTCGCCAAAGTGGCCCACCAGGATTTTCAAAGTACACACCACTCAATAAGATGACAAAAGCATATGGTATAGTTAAACTGGAATTATAGCTGATATAAAGTCACTACAAGCACACTTTACACTCTGGCAACTTACCGCAAATAGCGAAATATATTGAACTTAATAAACACCTCCACATATTCCCTATTGCTCAAGTCATTCTTGATTTTCGTTAACTCTACCCAATTGATGGTGAGCAACAAACCGCTAAATACAAAAAATGTGATCGTAATCAAACCGCCCGATATCAGCAGTGTGCCAGCAACTGTATGCAATAAACGCTCATTATCCTGTGGATTACTCAAAGCGCCTTCATACAGTATCCAATTGGTGTGTGCAAAAACTACTAAAAACATGCAGAAAAATTTGAAGCAATCTAGAAAGCGTAGATCGCGTCCCAATTTGCCGACAGGCTCCTGATTTAGCCGATACCAATTGCGCACAATGGAGAAACTCACGCATAAACGCTTTACTATTTCAATTAATTGGGTAAAAAATTCATATTTGTTATGCAAAATGAGACAACAAACTTACCTTGTCCCGTTATTGCGCTTTTATAGTGATCCGCTTTGGAAATTTCCTTATCGCCAGGCGTGTGCTTGCAGTATAAGTCAAATAAACTGCTGCTGGCTACTAAAAAAATTAATACCAAAATGGTTGTGTAGAAGGTGAGATTCCACGTATCTGCGGGGTGATTGGAATAAAATAAAGATTATAACGGTATTCAGGCGAATTATTGTTGTTTTCTATGCACAAATTGCATTTATTATTGAAAATCGCAATATATACATACATATTGTAACTGTTATGGCATATTAAGTAATTTTACTTAAAGCGAAAATTATACGGAAAAATTAGAATATCGTAACAATTACGTTACGTACACTACGTGATCTCACTCAAAATAGCTCTTAATATTTACATTTTTAATGCATTGTTAGATAATATCGTTTACCCTTAAGGCATTAATAACGCCAGTAAAGCATTAACTACTCACCGATTTCGACAGTTTTGTAATTAGTTTCGCAATATTCAATCATGCTGAGCGCTTTTAGCCCATGTGTTTGTTGTAATTTCAAATTAATGCATTGGTTTAATATGGTGTTATATCGCTGGCGATTCGTCTGCTCGGCGCTGAATAAATTAACGTATGTATTTAGCTGTAATTATATAAATTTTTTTTATATAACAAAATTTTTAATGTTAAATACTACCATAAGGCATTAAATGTCTGATAGAATTCTACCCAAAATGATGAGATGACATGACTACTACACACTTTTCTGCAATCAAATATTCTGAATTTTAAATAATTGTCTAGGGAATCCCTAAAAAATATTTTTTTCGTTGTACCTGTTTATAGTTTTGAATTTACGAGCAGTTTTAAAGTGAATTGTTATTGCGACAGTCTTTTGTTACATATCGGCTCCGTTATGAATAAATTAATCCGACTGTCTCGCGAAAACTGTTGAGTTTGGGTATACCGAAGGCTTTTAGCACTCACGAAAGAAACAAGTAAAAAAATCAGTAAGCTCAAAAGCAGCTGAACATGACATAAGTATATTCCCAATTTGTAAGAATTGTTTTAGATATTCTATAAAAGTGAGTTAGGGCAGTCGTGATTCGATTTCAACCAAATTTCGATTTCAACACCAAACTGCA